ACGCATTTAAATTAAGCATTTATGTATTTCTTTGGGACTCGACGAGTTGGTGGCCCAACTCGTCGAGTAGGGTCGTGATTCGCGGGCATTTTAAGTGACCTACTCGACGAGTCGGGAGACTGACTCGGCGAGTAGGTGCTATTTGAGGGAAACCCTAAATCTGAGGGTTTGCATCCTATTTAAACGACTTAACTCAGCCTCCCTCGTCCCTATCTCTCACAAGAAGCTGTATATCAAAACCCTAACCGCTTTTGTATGATCTAAGGCCATTTTGGTGCTTTTAGGTGGTTTGTGAAGCTTGAAAGGAAGGAAGAAGCTTGGGAATTCGAGTTTGGGCTTGTAGATCCAGAGATCTTAATCCATCTTCAGCTCAAACAAGGTTAATTCCCCCTGTTTTGGTCTTCCATTTGGTTGTTCATCTTTAGGGCTTAGATTTTGGGTGCATTCAGGGTTTCCCAAGCCATTTTTGGATTTGTGAGGTGATTCATGGGGTTTTCCTTTTAGATCTGAGTTATTGGAGGGGTCTCATGGCATAAATGTGCCAACTTTATGGCCATGAGAGCCCCATGCACATTGTAGAGCACCTTTTATGGATTTTTGAGCTAGAAACCCCATGCATGTGCACCAAGTTTGGAACTTTATGTGTAAAATGGACATTAGGAGGCCAAATCTATAGTTTTGATGTGTTAAGACCCATTTAAATCGGCTGTATAGTAAGGGTCAATCAGGGACTCGACGAGTTGTTCTTGGAACTCGGCGAATCGGTATGTATTAACCACCAAATCCTTTCTGGGGATGGACCAATTGTGTTGAAAGGAAGTCCCGTAGATGCTTAGTCACGTAAAGGGACCTAGGAATCATAGGAATCGGCGAGTGTATGAACAGACTCAGTGAGTCCAAGGCAATCTCACAACCATTGAAGATGGACTTGATGAGTTGTTCATACAAGTTGGTGAGTCATAGATTGGACATGTTTTTATGAGGGAGATGAACTCGCCGAGTTGGAGGAAGAACTCGACGAGTTGGATGAAGATGATCCGATGGTTTGAATGAAGGAGAACTCGACGAGTGGAGTCGGGGTTGGATTGGGTTAGTGGAGCATGGACTCAACGAGTTGGTATACTAACTCGGCGAGTCAGGTTAACTAGGTGTTGACTCTGACTGGTTATGTTTTTGACTCGGGCTAGGGTCATATATTTTGTTTGATGACTTGAGGGTTGTCGTATAGGGATTGAGGAGTCGAGGAGAGTCGATCTCTGTACAGAGAACAGTTCAGACACTACACGACATCGAGGTGAGTTACCTTCCAGTAGGGGTAGGTCTAAGGCCACAATGCCGACCCACCAACAAGTATGTTTAGTAGATAACTGTCTTTGTGATAATTATATTGGTTTGGTTATGTGATTTGGTCATGAGATATGCCTGCGTGATATGATATATGTGTCAGTGGTAGTGACAGGGAATAATCTTTCCCTAGCATAGGTCATTAGGACCAAGGGTAGGTCAGTACCCCGATATGCCTGACTGTATATTTATATCTTGTTACGATATGCTAGTGGTAGGGGTGAAATAGTCCCTAATTACCGGTTGAAAGATACCGATGGCAGTTACTGGTGGAAAGATACCAATGGCGGTTACCGGTTGAAAGATAACGATGATAATTACCGGTTGAAAGATATTGATGGCAATTACCGGTTGAAAGATACTGACGATATCATATGGTATGCGGTATGATGAGGGAACTTACTAAGCTTTGTACTTATAGTTTTTGGTTTTGGTTTCAGGTACCTTTTCGTTGAAGGGGAAGGAGCCGACAGTATAGCAGTGCATCACATGCACACACAGTTTCCGCTTTGGGTTTCTGGGATTGTCATCTGATCTTTCATTACTTTTGATGTTATGGTTTTGAGACATGACACTACGGTTTTATGTATTGACATAATTTTAGCAATGTCTTGACAAGTTATTTTATAAACCACTCAATTAAAAATGAAAGTTTTGGCCTTGATTTTTGGGATGTTACAACTTTGTTCTCCTTCCAAGATGATGCGAGATCAGGTTTAACCCACCTTCATCCCCATTAGCTCTGATACCATTTGTAGCACCCCCATATCAAAATATTATCCTCTTTGGGCTCCTGATGCAAAAACTTCCCAGGAGGTCACCCTTCCCTGAATTGTTCTCACCCGTACACACATAACTGCAGAGTTCTTATGGGATCTGCTGCCCTTACGGCTTTAAAACACGTTGTAACAAGGAAGGTATCTATACCCTTATAAGGTAATGCTTTGTTCTCCTTCCAAGCTGATGCACGATCAACTCCAACCCACCTTCTAGGTTTACAAGTTGGATAAATTCAAAGTTGCTAGAAGAGTACTTGAAATCAATATCAATCATTTCTAATAAATGAAGTTTTTTTTTTGTTTTTTTTTTTCATGCTCTCATTCATTTTGCCAAATGTCATTTTATGGTTATTTTGAAATAATTTTTTTCACATGTCATTTTATAAGTTTTTCTAATTTATTAAATTCCACATAATATTTTAATGTAATAATTGTAATAAATGTAGTAATAAATAGATATCTGTTTCATTAATGAACTTACATTTTAATTTCAAAATTTCTAAAATTAAAACTAATTAGTTGTTTTTATTTATGTAAATTATTTGTTTACATTTAAAAGATAAAAAACATTTCTATTATAATAATTTATTATTTTTTCTTATTTTCTTATAAATTCAAACTTCTCAAATATTTTAACATTTATGTTTAATATTTTTAATTAATACATGTATCTCACAACTAGTTTTATAATATATCTTATTTTTTAGGAAAAAATATTCCTCAAATGATCACGTCTGATGAAAATTTTGATTCATATTTGCTAATTGTGGTGTACAATTTGTTAAAGCCACATGAAGATGATGTAAAAGAAATTATGGAGGAAAAAGAAAATCAAAGCTCTTCGTATAGTGGTCCAATCACACTTATGTCAAAAGTCATTAGGGAAAGAATCTTCAAGAAAATGAAATATGAAGAAGAAAATGCCAAAAAGATTGAAGATTTCAGAATGAATTCTGATGGTGAAAGTGGTTTCTTATTAGTATAATAACAAGAAGGCAAAGAATATCTACAAGAAATCTGTTGCATGATGCTTCAAAGGAAACAATAATCAAAGATCATTTTCGAGTGCAAAAGAGAATGTTTAAGGAACAACAAACGAGTTTTCTAGGAAAGAGAAAGCTGATTTGGAATCAAAAAAAAAAAAAAAAAAAAAAAAAAAAAAAAAAAAAAAAAAAAAAAACTTTTTGGTGATTCCATATACGATTACAACTTTTGTAATGGTAAGAATTGTTTGGGCAAGAGATTGTATTTTGACGTAGAAAATGAAGAAGCAAAGTGTGGAAGAAGAGAAGGAGAATGTAACAAAGAAATTATGTTTTTAGTCCTTATATTTTCAACTTTAAAAGAAAATTGATTAATTATAGTTTTTGGTTTTGGCCCCTATAGTTTTTTTTATATAGGAAATTTGGTCCATATAATTTTAATTCTAAAAGCAAATGGATTAATTACAGAGTTTTTAATTTTAAAAATTACATTTTTGATATCTTTAGTTTTTAATTCTGAAAGGAAATATTATTTATGGTTTAAGTAACTATAATTGTTACTTTAAAAAATTACATTTTTGGTCGCTATAATTTTTCATTCTAACAACATGAATAAGTAAATTACAGTTTTGGTCAATATTGTTTGTACTGCAATTTGGTTGATTTTGTACAAGAATCTAAATTATAGTTTTGCTCCATATGGTTTGCATATTTTTGCACTTTAGATCATAGTTTTAACATTTTTTTGTATAGATGATCATTATAGTAGACAAAAATTATATGATTGGTTTGTAAGACTATTGTCATCTACCCTTATATGTTAAATATCTATAAAATTACCATTTTACCATCTATAAAATTACCATTTTACCATCACTTATTTATCATTTCAATTTTATTATATATTTGTTTATAATAAATAAGTTATCTCTGCAATTTTTTTTTTGTTTTTTTATAAATTATTTTAGGTGTATTTATTTTAAATATATAAATTATGAAAGTAATTTAACAAATGACCTCTATGGTTTGGGATAGATTATATGTTTAGTCCTTAATTATTTTTTTACTCGCATCATCCCTCTTGTTCGGTTTTTGTTTGAGTTTAGTCCCTACCATAACTAAAATGATTTTTATATTTACATATTTTTTTAATATGTTATTTATAATTTAATTTATGAAGACCACATATCTTGAAACACACCAACCCTTCGCTGTTCAATGATCTGACAGCCATGTAGTCACCAACAACATCACCTTCACCTCCGGTAACTACCACCATCAAATTAAAATCAAACCAAAAATCAAAGCTTAAAACCAAACCAAAGCCTGAAATCAATGTTCAAAAGGAAACATAAATTAAACTTGAATCAAAAATAAAAACCAAATCTAAAATCAACTCATAAAATAAAACGAAAATCACTTCAACACATCTTTGAACAACACATATGTCCGTTTGACCAAGAATGGTGAGGTGTGTTTCATGAGACATTCCGTAACACGATACTCTACAAGACTACAACACAATGGTGATATGTGTTTCATGAGACAAGTAGTCGTGTGACGTTGTAGATGCTGGCAAAGAGTCGTATGAGACATCTTATCAGATCACCGGTCCGATCTAGTGTCTTTATGAGAAGTGGGATATCAAGATGATGCACCCAAACATGTGTTATAATGTGGTTGTGGTTGCGTTGGTGCTTGTGCACTTGTACATGTTTTAGCTAGTTGTACCTTGATGAATTTTTATTAGTTTTATGTTAATACAAAGCAAATAAATAATAAAATTAGAAAAAAAAAAACGAAAAACATAACATAGTAAGGAGACCAAAATAGAAACAAATCGAAACTATAACAACCTTTGCCCTTTGGAATGAAAAAAATATTAACGACTAAACTCGCAACTCTAAACGCCAATGAACATTCGGACATTGACGCGTTTAATAATTAAATAAGATAACCGGTAAAGTAGCGTAGCTTTAACCTTAAGCTATGGATGTTCCCAGCTTGATATGGAAGCTACTCGGTCATTGACGCGAAAATATTATGTATATAAACACTCATATCATTTATCAACATCATTTGAAAAATCCCGAACATCAAAAAGGTATTTGATTCAATCGCGATTCGATTCGGATCACGATTCAAAGATGTTTACATCACCTGCTTGTAAGTTGTTTCTTCCCCTCTTGCTGTTCTGATCATACTCCGTCGCTCGAAAGCTTCAATAATATGTGAACTGTTTAAAAACCAAACGCAATTTTACTAATTATTAATGAACTGATATTTGTAATCACAATGGCAAGTTGCATTTGCTATAACGAACCTAGATTGCCATAATCGACGACAATTGTTTAGGGTTTTGATTCATCGCATCACCTATTTGATAAATTGTGACTAGAATCGAGCGTTTCTTCTTGCACTGTTTTATCGCATAATTTACTAATTTAATTTTGAATAGATTGTGCTGACTTACCATGTTCTGTTCTCTTATGTATTCTATGGTTGTATTTACAGTAATTTGTTCAAAATGAACTGATTTTGAACTATATAAACTTCAATTTCCAATTTTATTTACTTTGAATTTTAACTAAAGTAAAACAAACTATGGTTTCCTTTTTTTGGCATGTTGCAACAGATTCGCATTCAAGCAGTGGTACTTTTGGGTTTCCATTAGTTTTTGGAGAAGGGAATCAGAAGGTAGATGCAACAGGAATGTCCAATTATGGGGGAACCTCAACCTGGACATATGCTCAAACCTCATCCCCTTCATCTTCCACAACAATATTTGGATCTTCATCCCCATACAGTTTTGGAAGTTCATCTTCCAGTGGTTAGCATCCATTAATTTATTATTCTTAGCATTTGAGATTTCCTAAAATTCTAGTTTATACTTACACAAAAGCGCTCTTAATTCAGTTTGGCAGAATATGGGTTTTCAACACCCAATGTCGTAGGTTCAAATCCTACAGAGCGTGTTGTTTTGAATATCATAACCTTTTTTATTTGCAGGAGTAAATTTTAGACATCAAGAATTTATTATATAACGCTTGTTGCTTTTTTTCTGTAATCCTATCTGTTTTTCAGGAGCTAATGCCACAAGATCAACTTTTGATCTTCAAAAGTCACCTTTTGGTGGCCAAGATAGAGGAAGCAAAATTGCAAATTACAAAACAACCCCTGAGACTGAGTATAATCCAGAGAAACTTGTATCAATTTCTGCCATGCCTGTTTACAAATCTAAAAGCCATGAAGAACTAAGGTGGGAGGATTACAAGTTCACCGAAAAAGGTATGATTGATTTCTTGAGTTGCATACAAACAGGAGGGCATTTATGTCTTTTTCACAGATGGGATATAAGGAGCAAGTCTTCGTGACAACTTATTTCACCTATTTTTGGACGACAGACATCAGAAGTCCAGTGCATGTCAAACACAGTACAACCTAAGTAATGCAAGGACAACTTTTTTTTTTTTTCTTCAGGTGGATTTGGTCCAAGTTCTACAGCAATAAAGTCAACATCATCCACTCTATCTCCTTTTACCTCATCATCATTTACTAATTTTTCTACAAATTCATGGGGAACCACTTCAGTTTCTTCAACACCAATTACACCGAACCCATTTTCAAAAACAATCAATTCGGTAGCCACAGAGACACCCACATGGAGCTGGAAGTTTCCGGGACCCACATCCACTCCACATCCTCTTCACTTTTCATCTTCTACAAACAATTCTTTGAGCAGTTTTACTTCTGCTCCTTTAAACTCATTCAACCCATTTCTTCCCAAAACAAACCTCACCTCTCCAGCCTCCTTTACATCCACATTTGCACCTTTGAATCAAAATCCTTTCACTTCACTACCCACTCAAATGTCTTCCTCCAGTTTTTCAACTCCTACATTTGCATCATTTATCAAACCATCTTCTTCAAGTGGTTTCTTTCCAACTCCATTAGTGACTTCACCTGCTAACTCTATGAGCTCTGGTTTGTGTTCAACTTTTAATCAACCAACAACATTGTTTCAATCATCTTCAAACACCTCAGCATCATGGTCACATGAACCTTTGAATCAAAATCTGTTGAAAAACCATTTCACCTCACAACCCACTCAGACCTGTTCTACATCTGCAGCTTTCACTCATGGTGTAGTTACCATGCGTTCTTCTTTAGATGATTTTTGGTCAACTTCAATTGGTGGACCTTCTATTTCCATGGTGACTACACCTGCTACCTCTGTTTCAGTTTCACCTTTCAATCAACCAACAACATTCTTTAAGCCTTGTGCTCCTTCAACTCAGAACTATAATTCGGAAAGTACAACAGGAATTATTGGCCAAATTACTAGGAAAGATCAAAATCCATTTGGAACACTTCCCCCAATATCTCACTTGTCTTTTGAATGTTCTCAATCGATTCAGTATGGGATATCCAGCATACCTGTAAGTATATAAGTATATATTGCATCCTACTTTCATTTTTTTTTTTTTTTTTCTATTACATCATTGTAATTTAAAAAATCTAACCAATTATAGCATTCTAGTAATGAAATTGCTTTGTATATGGTTGACATTGCTATAGTTTAGGTAAAAAATTTAAAGTACAATATGGTAAAAGGGTGAAATAGAAATAGTACTAAAATTGCCAAGTTTAATATTTGAACATTCTTGCATTGTCACAGGTCAAAGACAAACCTGCCATGGTCAAATATCCCTTGTTGACTACAAGACATTTGTACAGAAGAAACAAGTTGCCAGTTCAGAAGTATGACCCAAAACTAAATAGTTTAAAGGTGAGGATTTTGCAGTATTGGAATTTGTGTTTGAGAAACAAGCCTTCTTAGTTCTTAAACTAAAATAAGTGAAGAGAAGAAGGGGAACTAAATCACATCAATTATTGCACATCGTATTTGTAACTATTTATGCAGATGCCATTTTTTAGTGACACCAAAGTTGCTGCATTTTTCCCAAGGGAAAATCCAAGGGAGTTGGTTATCAAAGGGAATATGCATAAACAAAAGTTGTCAGGTAACACGTGTGAAAATGAGAAAGGTACTTTCTTTTTAACAATTATTATGTTATTGTTCACATATTTCATCTTTTAGTTGCTAACAATTTCTTTATGTATATTTCAGAAGATATCAAGGTTTATGATTCTTCAAATGATCAAACCAAAGCGAAAAATAAATTCCCATCAGTCCTTGATGTCCCATTAAAACTTCAACTCCCTGACTACTACACAAAACCTCAAATTTCAGAGTTGGAATCAAAAGAAAGGGTTGAGCCAGGGTTTTGCAGCCATGTTAATGACTTTGTGATTGGGCGCCATGGCTATGGGAGTATTAAGTTCTTAGGGGAGACTGATGTGAGAAGACTCAATCTTGAAAGTTGTGTCCAATTTAATAACCGAGAGGTTATTGTGTATATGGATGACACCAACAAACCTCCAGTTGGTCAAGGGCTCAATAAACCAGCTGAGATAACACTTGTTAACATCAAATGTATTGATAAAAGAAGTGGAGTGGAGTATAAGGATGGTTTGAAGATTGATAAATACATAGAGATGTTGAAGAAGAAGGTGGTGGCACAAGGTGGTGAGTTTATTTCGTATGATCTGGTTGAAGGTGAATGGAAATTTAGAGTCCAACACTTTTGAACACTGTTCTCTTGATGATTTATTGATGTTGATACTAGTAGTAATGGTTGGAGTTTGTATTTTGCTTATGTAATTAGAAGAATGTTTATGGTTGTTTCCTTCTTATTTGTATTTTGCAATAATGTAAATGTTAAGTGCAAAGAACATTTATGTATTTTTATTAATTTGTTTATCATAGCACCATGTATGAGAGTGGGAAAGGTATGTATGTTGTGGTTAACAATGATGTTACTATTGTTTTTACTAGAAGTCGACTCCAATAGACATATTGAAATGTTATAAATGTTAGGCTTAGGTTCATGATATAGCAATGTAGTTTCATCGATTTGTTTATCATAGCATTGTACTCCCATTTCTTGCGATTACATAATTGTAAGAAAATATACCCGTTTATACCAATTTCATCCAAATACAAAGCTATTTCCGTTATTATGCTTGGGTATAATTTCAAAGTATAAAATCATATTAGAAAAAGAACTGATAGGTGGACAAAAATTTCAAAGTACAATGATGTAATAAGAATTCAAATTAAAGTATAATGTTGTAATAACAAGACAAAATTGCAAAAATGGTCCCTGTGGTATGTCAAAACTAGCATGTTTGGGCCAAAACGGGTTTGGCTAGCATCAATGGTCCAAAAGTTTCATTTTCTTGCAAGTTTGGTCCAAGTTGGGTTGATTTTTTTTGGAAAGACGATTTTGCCCTTATTATTTAATTTTTCAATTTTGTTTTATTACCAACAATTAAAAATAATTAAAAATAAAACAAAATTAAATTAAATACCTCTCTCTCTCTCTCTCTCTCTCTCTCTCTCTCTCTCTTTCTCTCGTTTCTTTCTTACTACTGTCCAAAGAAGAAGAACGAGTGGTTGTCACCGGCCTAGGCCGCCCCTCCGCCTCCCTCCGGTCAGGTAGCACCACCCCAAACACCCGATTTGATTGTTGCTACCGTCCCTTTGAACCTAGACAGATGCCAACGAGAGAAATGAGATCGAGATATGAAGATTGGGTTTCTTGACGATTAGGGTTTCTTGGTGGCTAGGGTTTTCAGATGGAGGGTTTCGCGACTGGAAATCGAGGGGAAGACACCTCGAATCAATTTTCCTTGGCTGTTAAGACTCCGACGAGGTGGTTGTCATCGATCAAGGGGGTCATCGATCTAGGTTACATCTCCACACCACCGTCGGATCCTCTAACTACAGATTGAACATATCTGAAGGCGACGAGCATGGTGATGGGGTGTAGCAGTGACGAGAAGAATAAGAGAGAGGGACATGATTGGCATTTGATTCAAACAACGATTCAAAGAAGAACATGAGAGAGGGACATTATTGGCATTTGATTCAATAATTGGAAAGGGCGCAGAAATTTCTAGGTTGTAAAGCGTAACCCCTTTCATCAGTAAATCGTAATCTCTTTAACCTGTACTGATTTAGGGTATACGGTGTCTGCGATTTAGGGAGGGGGATAAAAGGGGTGCAGTTTACCTTCATCTTTATGTTTATTGAGTTGTTTGTGTGCTTATGGGTTTGAGTTGGGCAATTCATAGAAGAAATTGATTCCGATGGTGGTGATGGCAGTTCATCAGAAATCGATTTCTTAGTTCGTGAATATGATGTTCTTGTTCTTGAACTCAGGAAAAACCGAGTGTTCTTGAGATTCATATGTATATATGAGTGTGTATGTGTTTAGTCTATTCGACTTCATACAATGAATTGAACAAAATTGATAAAAGTTAGGGTTCTATATTTTACAAATCCACTACCAGATCTGTATTAATTTTGTTTGTAGAGAGAGAGAGAGAGAAAGAGAGAAACAGAGAGAGATAGATAGAGAGAGAGAGAGAGGAAGAGAGAGAGAGGGAGAGAGGGAGAGAGAGAGAGTATTTTATTTTTGTTTTATTTTTAATTACTGATAATAAAATAAAATGGAAAATTAAAATATAAGGGCAAATCCATCATTATAAAAAAGTTCATAGGAAATTGGACCAAACTCGCAACAAAACGAAACTATCGGACTATCCTTGCAAGCCAAACCCATTTTGGACCAAAGCTGCTAGTTTTGGCATACCACAGGGACCATTCTTGCAATTTTGTCTAATAACAATAAATGAAATTATTAGTTAATTTCTGGTTCTACTCCATATATGACAAGGTGTAGGAGGGAACAATACTTGGGCAATAAGGAAACCTAAGAAGTCGTTTAGGGTTCAAGCAAATTGATTTGCTCAGGGAACAAGCAAGTCTTTTATATGGCAAGTAATATTCTAGTTAGAAACAAACTAGGATGCTATAACCGACCCTATATGTAGACATCAAACCCGTGGGTTTCGATAATTAGAGAGAGCAAGTGATGATAGAATGTAATCTAATTTTGATTTATTACTGAATTGCAAGAAGAGTTTATTCCTTTCGATCTAATTTTCTTATTTTTTCTGTTTTATTAGTTGTTACTCTTTCGATTGGTATCAGAGCGCTAGAGAGCACTAGGCAACAAAAGAGAGTCAAATGAGAGAGTTGCTGACCATGACAAGACCGTCGGATACAGGCTTGTTCGGAACAAAGGAGAATATGTCCTTCTCCTTTCATGTGGCGATGTTCACCACAAAAAAACTCCACTATCTGAGCAATTCATATGAAGGTCATCCTTAACATTCACCAAGTATAGGACGTCGTCAATCTAGGAACAACAGATGCCAAGAGAAGTAATGTAGCAATAGTAGTTTTATTCCAAGCAATCCCTAAAGACTTAATCTTCTAAGTTGGCATGATGAGTGCAGTGAGGAGATCTGGAAAGCCGTTAGGATTTGCCACCTTATACCAGAGCGAGTATGGAAAGCTTGTTTACAAACCCTAATAAACAAGTTTGATAACTTGGAAATAAATGAATCAAGTAAGATTAACGAGTTTGCAAGTCAGCTATCAACTATCTGTCACATCTCATAATTTAGGTCTAAAACTATAGACAATCAATTCACTATAAACCTCTTTGAAACTTGACCAATTGGGCTTTAATGCCTATTTTGGGAAGTAAAAAGTGCCTTAAGATACGAGATGGTATCTTACTTCCAATTGCGGACAATCTTAAACGAAACATGCATCACAATACATCTAAAAAAACATACATTTTGTATTAAGCATTTGTGAGGGAAGAAAACACTTTAGTCTCATAGTACATGTTCAACTGAGTCCGAAAATATAAAGAACGTTGAAGAAGGAGTCAGTACGGAAAAGATATGACCGTTATAAGAAACCGAACCAGTATAACACTAATTTCCTTTAAACTGCATAAACAGTTTCGAAACATTAAGGCATTTGCACACCTCAAATGGTAATTCTGAGAATGTTTTTGGACTTAGGTTATGGTTTATTATTTAATTCCATACTTGAAATATTTTTATGAAAAATATTTATAAAATTTGAAAAATCAAACCTTTTGGGTCAATTAGACGCAAATCTTTTAATGCGATTTCCTGGAGTTCTACAACTTGAAAAATTAATCCGTTCTGGTTTTTGGAATCAGTGAACTTGGCCGATCATTTGCTACTTTCGAAAAAATATTAGACGTCGGGATCTTGGTACACAAATCTAGAAAGGTTTTGGGGCATTTTTGAGAAAGATGACATCATGCAAGTACAAGCCACCTTGCATGAATGAGAAATCAGCCCCTGACTTCTTTTTTTCCCCTTGATCACATCCAAACCCTTTTCCATCACCTTCCTCCAATGCTCCATCACTTCCAAGTACAAAGCATAGACCCTTTTTATGTGTTTGAGTAGCATTTGCATGGACGGTCTTGCAAACCTCCATGAGGCTATAAAAAGGAGTCGTGGACTCCTAACATAAACACACAAAAATCAAGCTTAGGGGCTCAATCTTTCCCTCTCCATTTCTCCCTTTCTCTCAGTCTAAAACCCTCCCCACAAAAGGTGTCATCGACTGTCGATAACCACGGAGAACCATTGCCTTTTACCCATGTTTTGTCGAGCAACCATCACCACTTGGTTTCCACCTCTTGCTGCCATTTTTCTATGAAAAATCCAAGAAAAAGTCACTACTTTTTATTTTTTCTTTCATGTGTATTGAGTCCAAACAACTGGATCAAAATTTGTTGCTAGTTTATGCTATCTCGCGGTGCTTCCCGAGCACGATTACATTCTCAGTTTTAAATCGAATTCAGGTATCTAAGGTGAGTGCTTAGAGACCTTTTTTATAGTTTATATATATATATATATATATATATATATATATATATATATATATATATATATATATATATATATATATGTATACATGTGCTCAGACATTTTGTTTATACAAAAACGCTCTTGAAAAACATACTAAAAAATGCTATGATTTTATGTGAAAAATTGTGATCCATTCAAGACCTGTTTTTCCCATCTTAAACCCTATGGCTTACAAAACTATTTTGTATGCAACAATTTCACATTGATACCTTTTCAAAGACTACTCGCACACATTCATACGATCATTATATATATATATATATATATATATATATATATATATATATATATATTTATGATTTTTGCAAAACTACATACCATTGTAGTCCTTTTTGGACCAGTTTGTAAAAAGTGGTAATTTTATCCTAAGTTAGGGTTCATATCAGGTAAGGTAAAAACTTAGGGACAAAGTACACTCAATTTCTAAACATTGAGAGTTTACGTATCCTAATTACGGTTCCCGATGATTTTTGTAGAATTTTTCTAAAACAGGGACCAAAATCGACATTCTAGATTAATTTTCTTATTTTGTCTTTCAATGTGTCATATATATATATATATATATATATATATATATATATATATATATATATATATATATAATATGTAACATTAGCATATTTGTAGTATTTCAAATATCAAACTATTACCATGCATGTGTGGGTGTGTGTGTGTATGTGTGTGTATATATATATATATATATATATATATGTTTAAATACACATTTATACAAGTTATAATTTTTATAACTTAGAGTTTATACATGTACTTATGATCAATACTTTGAAGTATACCTCTTTATAAAAGCGAGTACCTTACATATACATACATACCAGATATATACTCAACTTTTATGAACTCTCTATAATTCATTATGCCTAGTAACTTATCTACAAATAAGTTAAGGCTGAGAGCTATTCACATACGCTACTTAAGGTCTTTTTGTGAGACTATATTCATTAGCTAAGTCTAAAAACTTAGCATACCATCACTACTATAACCGTTAATCTTCAGAGTGAGATATGTATGTATAGATCTATACAGGGTTGCC